GAAAAGGCTTGAAGCATAATTGATGCGCCACTATGTACAACTAACATTGGGGCATTTCAAGATGATGGGTTGCAAGTTATATTACCTTTTTTTATTTTTCATGATGATGAAATGTACAACCTAATGGATATTGAAGATGGTTGTGAAGTAGGTGATAAAGAAAATAAAGAAAATGATGAAGAAAGAGAAGGAAGGGAGGATGAGGAGGAGGAGGAGGAAGAGGATTGGTACTTAGAAGATGATACTGAAGAAGGTGATGATAAACATGATGTTGAAAATGAAGAAGCAGATGATTCAAAAGATGATATTTAGAGGAATTCATAGTGCACGTTAAATTCTCGATTTGTTTAAAATTTCATTTTTTATGTATTTGATTTTATTTTTAATATGTTACATATTGTTATGCAAATGTAACTTATTCATGTTAATTGTACACATGATAGGTCATGGCATCAAACATTGTTATTGCCGGCTTAACAGCCTCGTGACACCACCAGCTGGTGTTGGATCATTATCTCCTCCTAATCAATCTCCTTCTGTTGGCATATCTAATCCCTCTGTAGGATCTACAGCAGAGCCTATCATATCATCTTCAAAACTTAAGAGTCGAGATCCCATAGATGGTCAAATTTAGGTAGAACTTGATAATGATACATAAGCTAACAATTTTGATATGTTACTTTATTATAAATTTTATGTTTATTTCAATTTTGTAACTTTTTATAACAATTGGCTGTGTTGATCTAAATGTAGGCTTAACCCTGCTAATGCTGTTAGGAGTTTTCTTCCCATTATTAAATCCAAATTTGAGTACCCATGTTTCACAATAGGGAATACACCTCCTGAGGTTCAGGGTTACTGGTTCTCTGAATGGATGGTATTTCTATTTGAATATTTTGACTTAATGTATTTGAGTTCTTATTCTTTATTTCATTAATGATTTATGACCTTTTCATTTTATACATAGAAAAATTTCAAATGGCTACCATAAAATGATGCAAGAATTAAGACTAACTAGAAGAAAAAGTATGGTGATATCTTGAGAAAACATATGACTAGAGTCAAGAGTTCAAGTATTAGGCCAAATTGGATTCCAGAAATAGTATGGAAAGAATTAAAAGTGCAATGGAATAAGCTAGAATATCATAACAAGAAACAAAAGGTTAAGGCAAATTGAGCCTCTGCTAAAGGAGGAATGAAGAATAGATGTGGTAGCATTTCTGTATCTGAGCATAAAAGAAGGATGGTAAGTTTTTTTTAAAATCAAATTACAAATTATTTCTCATATTGAATGAATATTTATAATTATTGTTAATAATTGTAGACTATAGAGCTTGGAAGAGAGCCAACAATGGTTGAGCTATTTAAGCGCACACATTATAATGAAAAGACTAGACAATTTGTTGATCAGAGGTCAGCTGATGTATATGTAAGTTTATATATATATTTCTTTGTTTTGATTTTTTCATTGGGATTATATTGATGGCTGGAGGCTTGACTACCTATTGTGGGAGTCATTTTTATCATTGAAATTTTTTATACTTGATAAAGTTGTGAGTTATTAGATTTGAATGAAATTGACATAAAATTGTACTTCTCATTGTATTTTTTTATGGAATGTTAAACATTTGCATTTTAATCTTTCTTTATAGCTACCTTGTCAATTTGTTAAGTTAAATGAATGCTTATCAGTCAATTTGTTGAGTTATGAAATTGAGTTAAATTATAATTTAATTACCTATCTTTTTATAGGAACATTATATGACTCTAAAGAGGTCTAGTAGATCCTCTAATCAAGGAGAGCTCCCAGATATGGATCCACCTCTTGAAGAAGTAGAAGAAGACTATGCTGATGATATAGAATTATGGTTGAAAGTTGTGGGTGGTGTTAACAGGAAAGGATGCATTTTTGGTATTAGATCTGAGGCTCCTTCATATCATAGCTCTTGCTCTGTAGAGGATGCCTCTTATCATACAAGACTCCACCCAGAATTTGAAAATGAGCTGCAAAAGCATGTAAATGCTTTGACAGAGATGAACAAAAAGCTTGAGTCACTAATAAATGAGCAACGACAAGAGCTTCAAAATTGCTAAAAGAATATCAATATTTTGCTTAAGCATATACTGCCCGTGGAGGATGAAGATAAAGATGAAGATGATGAAGCTCAAGCTTCTGTTTGATGTTGTTTAGTGATTATGATGTTATTTGACTACTTTAAATGCTTTTGAATGATTTTCCTATGCTTTGACATTTGAGTATGATTGTATCAAATTTTAAGTACTAAATGAGATATTTTGTTCTTGATGCTTTAAGTTAAATTTCTTATAATTTTACTTATTTTTATATATAAAATTATTGTTACAGGTTGAGATTGTAAAACAATGATGGGGGAAATAACAATTGAAATTAAATAAATAATTAAAAAATATTTCTTTCAAATATAAATTTGTGATGGATTTGTGACAAAAAAGCCCTTCATAGAATTTGAAACACATTTGCGACGGAATTTCCTTCACAAATATTGGCACGTGTTTGTGACGAAAATTCCTTCACAAATTTTTGGGACAGATATGTGACACCATAATCCGTCCTAAATTAGGGACACCATTGCGACATTAAGATCTATCCCAAATTAGGAACAGAAGTTCTGTCTCAAAATATCCGTCTCAAATTGGAATGCAATTTCAAATTCCGTCGTAAATAATTTGTAACCAGCAAAATAGTGACGGAAGGTTATCTGTCACAAATTCCATCCTAAACTACATTTGTGACAACAATTTCGTCCCAAAATTAGGGTAAAATCCATCACAAAATGGATGTTTTTTAGTAGTGTACATCGATTCCGCATGCAACTAGTGTAGAAAGTTTGGAAAATTAAAAAAAAATGTATATATGACATTTCTACACTAGGTCTTCTTATACCAAGTGTAGAAAGTGGTTACATTTTTTACAAAAAATATATAAAAAAATAAAAATGTTTCTATACTGATTGTAACTAGAATGGGTGTACTTTCTATTCCATCTTTTTATATTAGTTCCGAAATTGGTGTAAAAATTTATTTTTAACTAATGTAAAAAGTGTTTTTTGTAATAGTGCGGAAAAGCTTTCCTACCAAATATTTAATGTCTCTACATTCTTAGAAATAAAATTCAAGACATTTGATTAAGATAATATAATCTTTGCTAATTGAACAAACTTAAATGCTCTGGGTGATATATAATTTTTGTATTAAGTCAGTAACTTATTAAGAGTGATAAGATTTTATAGATATAATCATCTTGACTAAGATATTATAAATATATATATATATATATATATTGTTTGTTTGTATTATTTTTTTAAATTATTTATATTTTTATACATTGATTTTTGTTTCAGGGAAAATTGCCATAAAATTTAACGTTGGGAAGGAAATTATTTTGAAGGACCAAAACCAATTTAAAGACCAAATACATCCCAAGCCAAAAACCTTACACCACAAGTCTCTTACCTTACACACATAAAGATCAAAATTTCATTAAAATACAACCTATTACCTTGAAAGTGATAGTTTACCAAAAAAATAATAATAACATAGACAATGAATTGTTCAAGCCGCAAGCATGTAAATTACATAATATTTCCAAAGGTTAACATATAACTTTGTTGTGCAAGATCATAGGCTTGGGGTACAAGGTGATGAGCTTAAGATATAATTTCACAGGCTTAGTGTGCAAAGTAATAAGCTTGATGTGCATTTAATTCTTAAATTGGTCTTGGTCTCTTTACACAATTTTACTAAAGGATTTTATGGCAATTTTCCCTATTATTTATACATTAAAGTGTTTATCTTATTACTAATTGTAATTGGTTACATCAATGAGTTCTATATATAGGGTTAGACAAACTGGCGTCTTGATGAAGACACCCACACATAATGCACATGCTAATAGTTTAAAGGGTAAGACTTATTTATTTATCTTGATATGCTTAATATACTTATATCTAATTAAATTATTAGAGGTTGATCTTAATATGTTAATTAAATAAATAACAAGAAACCAAGAAATTTAATCTTCGAGGTAAATCCTTGATGATTTCATTTAGAAGTCCCAAGCTCAACACCAAAAATAAATAATTAAATAACAAAAATTTATTATAGAATAAGTAATCTATAGAAGATACATATATCTTGATTTAATTAAAAAAATGCATTAAATACATAAGCCTAAATATATAAGTTTTAGGGAAAATGACAATTAAGACCCCTAAGGACTAAGGGATTTAAAAAAAATGTAGATTATCTTAAATGCCTCTGAGAAAAAATATCAAAATACCCACACATGCAGCCCTATTTCTTGTTCTATTTTGGCATCTCCTTCTTTCTTCTTTTGTTCCTATTCTTTGTCGTTTCTTGGCGTGTCCATATTAGCTCTAATATTGTGAACACATCATACCAGATTTGGGATTTGTTGCGGTTCATCTCTGTCAGAGCTTTGTACTCTTTCCTCTCACTCGACTTTACCCTTTTCAAATGGTAGTGACACTATCACTATTGAAGAGAAGATTGATTAAGAAAGCTAAAGAAATTGTTGATGATGAGCATGCCATTGAGTGAAAAAGTGCACTATAGTGAAGAGACTGTTTAGAACAAAAACTTACAAATCAGGAATGGGGAATGTAGAATTGGCTATTTCAACAAATGAAAAAGAGAAACTCTCTCTAAAAAATAAAAATGACGTCTACTAAACACACAAATTAGATCATTCCTTCATTCCTCACCTTCAATGACCTCAATACCAAACATGCTTTAATGGATGAACAACAAAAAATATTCATACTAAAAAATCATTACAATAGATAAAAAATGATCTATGATAGTATTATTAATAAGCTTTGAGTGAGAAATCTAGACCAAAAATCAATGTAGCACATAGGAGTTGAACTAATACTAAATACTAAATAAAAGGCAATAATAAAATAGTAAAACCAACTAATACAAATATGATAACCCATAATGAATTCAGTGCTGTTATTTAACTCCATTCCCATAAGACAAATAAGAGACGAAGCTGATAACAACATGAAAATTTTTTGAGTTTTTCAAACTATGATCCAGTTAGTAACGAACAAAGTATAGTTAAACTCAAAATTAAGTAAACCAAAATATACATCCATGTTAAACAATATATTTTTTAAGTGGGGTTTTATGTTTTCACAACATATGTTAGGCATTTTTTCAAGTCCGTTTAGTGGATTCCTAAGTGACGTTATTAGATCCTAATTTGGACAAGTCACTTTTTCATTAACAATTTATTCTCAAGTAGAGTTTTGTGTTTACACAATTTATGTTAAGCATTTTCCCAAGCCGGGTTAATGGATTCTCAAGTGATATTACTGGAACCCAATTTGGACAAGTCACTTTTTGTAACATCCTCAATTTTAAATCAAGATTAATTAAGTTCAAATAGACTAATTAAGAGTATTAGTAAGGTATGTGGCCAGAAAGGCCTAACGGGTATGTTTTGTCTCGATTTCAGTTCTAAATGCAGGTTCAAAGGAGAATCGGGTCACCCAAGAATGGAAGAGGAAGAATTTTTAAAGAAAGTAATTTTGTGCCATGCGCCACGGCTTGTGGATGGGCCGCCATGATGCATGCATGATAACACACCTGGAAGAGGCTCTCTATGCCATACGCCGCGACACATTGTGTGTCCACTACAGTGCATGGTCATTTTTCTGTTAAAATAAGTCGTGAATTTGATACATCAGAGAAGAAAACAAATGAAAAAATGAAAGAGCAATGAAAAAACAGTGCTCAGGCTTAAGAAAATTAAGTATTGGGAGTATTTTAAAGCTCATAAATATCAAAGGTAAGCTTTTCTACTTAAATCTTCCTCTCTTCTTGCATTTTCTTGATGGTAGAGGTTAGGGTTTGATTGATAATGGTGACTTTTGGTTTATAAAAGCTATAGGTCTGAACCCATTGATTAAAATAGAGCTAATGGGAGTGGATTGAGTTAAGTAAACATGATATTTATGGTTTTATGATGATTAGTAGTTGAAGGACATTAAATGTCCAAAATTCTCATAAATTTGGTGGTTGGGAACAATGTAGTTTCATTAATGATCATTTAAGAGCTTAATGTTATTAATGAGAGTTAAAGGAAGCTAAGAAGCTTTATGGGTACTTTTACATGAATCAAGAATAAATCTTAAGTATTAAAAATTAATGAAGTGTTAGTGAAAAATAGTTCAAAAATGAATATTAATATTTTGCATGGTAAATGCTTGTAGAGTAACTATCATTAGCATCATTCAAGCTTCTTAAAAGCTTTGGGAGTGACTAATTGAGGGGTGAAATTGACTTCTCAAAGGTTTGAGATAACTGAAAAAATTCTATCTTATGCTTTTGCGTATCTATTAGTTTATGAATTTATGATTTATCATTGAAATGTGTAAATTAAAAAGGCATGCAAGTGTGGCTTGATTTGTTAAAAAATCTACTAGATAAAATTTGTGAGTTTTATTCCTTTTGATGTAAAAATATCTTAGAGAACAATATCAGTAGATTTTCGTATTATGTTTATTGGGAGTTCAATGATTTTGCAAATTGAGAAGTAACATGAATCTTTGTTTATGAGAAGTTCAATAATGTTTTAAATAGTAAAGTTCAATGATTTTGAAAGTATGAATGTACAATGATTGTGAAGTTGGAGTTCAATGACTTATTTGGTTTAAAGTTCCATGAAAATGTGTTTAAGCAATGATTTGTGTAATGATGAAATTCAATGAAAATTGATAATGTGAAGTTCTATGAATTGTATATGTGTGAATTATAGCATAAATGTGAATTGCATAATCTTAAAAGGCGGGAGTTCGCTTAGGAAGAGGAGTAAATGATAAAATCCGCATGGTAAGGCCCATTCGTGAGATGGTTTACCAAATTGATTATATCTATATTGTCCTACTGGTTTAATGAGAGACTTAAACCTAGTTAGCTATCCACCAATTTAATGAGGGGGCTAGTTTAAGGTGTATGGCACTCCATAGTGTCAGAAATTAGGGAAAACCATGTTCCATAAGTGAGTTAGGTATGCCTTGATCAGGTAATCCCCTCACAAGTGTTTAAGCTAGGGAAGTCATGGAATATAGACTATCCCATTAAGTTGTAACCTACAGTTTCATATCAGAGGAATAAGGACGATATAAAGGAGGTGTAATTATGTATATAGTGAGTAAGGGCGCCCATTGTCTATATTGTGTCCTAATGATGACATCACGAGTTGAGTCTTATTTTTTTTCCAATGTATTTGTCAATGAATTGTTTGACTAGCTCTCTTTATATGAAAAGTGCTAAAAAGCATTGTTTCTCAAGTAAATGCTATTATATGAGTGAAATTGTGGATATCTATTTTCAAATATTTTACATGGGCTAAAGTATTGACATTAATTGTCACTTGCATTTAAAGTAATTGATATGCATTAGTATAGGTTAGTCAAACCTTAGTTACTAAGTAGTTGCACTCACCCTATTATCTTCAATATTATAGGGAATAACTCAAGAGGTATGCACAGAGAAAAAAACCCAAAGGCTTAGAACCATGATCCTTTTATAGTATGCCTCTTTATTTTGAGTAATTATATGTGTGTGACAATTTTAAATTGTCAATTAGGAATTCTCATTTGTTCTTTACTTGCATTATATGAATTGTAAATGGTAAGTGTATTTTAAGCCTTGAGGAGTAAATTGATGAATACGTATTATTGTGATAAGGCCAAAATACTAATACAAGTAAGAGTAGTGCATATTATGAGATGATTTGGAAAACTTAATAAAAATTATGGTAAACTCTCCTTTTTTATATTTTTGAGTTTAAGGGGTTGAGTAGTAAAAATTTAATCTAGGAGTATTTCATGTAATATGGTGCATTGCACGAATTAATCTTAATAATTTGAATGTGGTCAAATTAGTATCGATAGCTATTGGCCTATGGTATTTGGTTTGGACACTTGATTTTGCAAAAATTATTGTAAAAGTGTAAGTTTTGAAAAGTATGTCCAATTTTTTTAGAAAGAATTTGAGTCTAATACTAATGTCATTAGTTAGAGCTCGGAAAGAGTTTTCTGTAGACAACCTAGTTCATGTCATTTAGACATCAGATAGAGATTTAGGGCTCGTCGGAAGTTGGCCCTAATGCTGTTAAATTAATAGCAGAATTTATTGTCAAAATTCATGCAATTGTGCCACGATGTGTGTCATAGAGGCGAGCACACCACGACGCATGTTCAACGAGCTGTGGTGCACGCCTCAAAATTTTTTAAAAATTTTCTTGTTTCAAATTCTTAAACAAATGCACTCATACAAGTAATGATCCCATGCTTCCACATATTTATGAACTCTAATTTGTCTAGTTGCAAGACTTGAAAATGATTTTAGTTTTGTAAACTTGGGGTCTCCATTTTGCTAACCATTAAAAACTTTGTATTTTGAATATTTACTATAATCTCATTCCCTAATTACTTGGGATTTGATTTTAAATATGGGATTAGAAGAGGGAGGATATTACACTTTTTCTTAAACAATCTATTTCCAAGTAAGGTTTATGTTTTCACAATATACATTAGGCATTTTTTTAAGTTGGGTTAGTAGATTCTCAAGTGACGTTACTAGATCCCAATTTGGACAAGTCACTTTTTTTAAACAATCTATTCTCAAGTAGGGTTTCATATTTTCACAATATCCTATCTATCTAAATGGTACTTATGTAGTTTGCTTCTCAAAAAACAATGTAGACTGCAAGCTTATTTACATAACTTGCCATCTCCACAAATACAAAAAATATGGTGTGGGTGTCTATATAAAAAATTATTCAATAGCAAAATGCACAAAATATGTAACCAATTCTATGAGTAAGGCTGTACTTATATAGTTCTTTTCTAAAAACAATTGCATCATCAAAAGTCTGGCCAATACTTATAATAAATCCTTCCATTTTACTAAATGTTACTCAGACAGCGATGCAACAGCATTTTGTATTGAACATGGCAAAGAAGGTGATATACTTTTAAGCTCTTATTTAGAGGAAGATGTAACATCCCAAAAATTTTAAGACTCAAATTTATTTTAAAAAAATAAAATAAAATATATATATTTAAATTAAAATTTAGAATAATTTGATAGAGGTCTAGAGTTTGAATTTTTCTCATCAAAATTTTGGTTTTGTTTGATTTTTAACTATGGAAAAAATTACCAAAGTTGACCCAGGCTTTTGTGTTATAATAAAAAATGTTGGGCCCTTTATTGTAATTTTTCTCAAAGTCTAATATCAGCAATTTAAGAGGGAAAACAGACGCAAAATTGCAGAAAAGGAAAAGGAAAAGAAAGGAAACGTGTGAGAGAGAGAGAGGAAGAAGAAAGGAGAAAGAGAATGAGTTAGGCTCAGATCCAGGAGACTTTGCGTCCATTGCGAGCTCGGCTACGCAATATGTAAACTCCCTACTTCAATCTTCTTCCCTTTCTCTTTGTTTTTCTCAATTTTTGGAAGAGAAAATTTGTGGATTTTGATTCCAAAGGCTTTATTCTTGTAAGCTTTTATTTCTTTGGATCCTAAGGAGGATGTTTTGAGTTTCTATATAATGATCTAATATTTTGAGTGGATAATTGGATGAAAAGAGGTGTTTTGGGCACAAATTAAACCCTGAGAGATTGGGTTTTTCTCCTCAATGGTTTAAGCCTATTGATTTAGTTATAATTGTGCTATTTAAGCTCAATAGGATTTAAATTAAGGTTTGGTTTTCATTATAAGGGCTAATAGTGAAAGTTGGTGACACTAAGTGAGGGTTTTTAATTGATTAAAAATTATATAAATTGGAAATTAGCATAGTGATGGCTAATAAATGGTTTTGGTGGTTAAGTGATACTATGTGAATGGTTGGTTTAATATATGGACCATTGGGATGGATTATGGCTCATAGACCCAAGTTGTGTGGTATGAGTTATAGTCTTCATTAATGCTATTTGACATGATAAGTGATGTGGATCACTTATATATTGTAGGAATTGTTGGTGGAATTTGTTTGAAAGTTAAGGAACAAGTCGAGTCCTATTTTATACAAGAGGAACCC